ATTTTAAAACAAATTTGAGGAAGCACTTCTTTACACAGCGTGTAGTTAGAGTATGGAATAGTCTTCCTGCTAGTGTAGTAGAAGCTAAAACCCTGGGTTCCTTTAAATCAGAGCTAGATAAGATTTTAACAACTCTGAGCTATTAGTAAAGTTCTCCCCAAACGAGCTTGATGGGCCGAATGGCCTCCTCTCGTTTGTAAATTTCTTATGTTCTTATGTTCTTATATGAAAAAATCAGATGCAAATAAGTTCGGTTCCAATGATATTTCACGAATCTGTGACTTCGTGAATTACGAAGCACGAATGCACGAGGGCTGACTGTATCTTAAAAAACTACACATATTAAATGATGATTAATTAAAAAAAAAAAAAATACTATATTGTATACAACCCCATTTCCAAAAAAGTTGTGCAAAATGTAAATAACAGAATGCAATGATTTGCAAATTATATAAACCCATATTAATACTAATCTAACTGAAAAAAGAACAAAGACAACAAAAGAAATGCTATTGTTTTATGACAAATATATGTTCAATTTGAACTTGATGCCAGCAATGTTTAAAAAAATTAGGGTGAGGTGCATGTCTACCAATGTGTTGCATCACCTCTTCTTTTAACTACACTCTGCAAACGTTTGGGAACTGAGGGGACCAGTTGCTGAAGTTCTGAAAGTGAAATGTTGTCCCATTCTTGCCTGATACGGGATTTCAACTGCTGGACAGTTCAGGGTCTGTTTTGTCAAAGTATCAAAAAAGTACCCCAGCTGGTTAGTAACTTTAGGTATTGGTACTCGACCGGAAGTCAATGGAAACGGGAAAAGTACCAAGAGTACCGTGTATGAAGTATGGCACCTGGTGCGGTGGAAAAGCGCCCTAAAATGTTACCTTACTACCAAAAAACTAAGTATAAAGGAAGAAGCTACATTTGGGTATATGACTGAAGGTCTTGTTTCACCATGTGGCTCCTTCACAACAGTCTACTTCTGTTATTTTGTTTATTTTCTTATAGAAGAAAACTCAAGACTGCAGAACATAAGCAGTGTTGTTTCTCATTTTCATATTTGCTTTTATTTTTTAAGCACAGCCATTTGATCATCTAGCAGCAACCCTGCCGGCAAACAAACACACAAGAGGAGACAACAATAGCACACTAGTTAGAGGATTGGCTCGAAGGTGAAAGCAAATGAACTCACGGCCAGTGTTCTCAAACAGGACCTTGTCGTTAAGGCCTAGGCGCAGCTCAGGCATCCCCGACAGAAAGACACGCATCTTAATGGAGCCCACGATCTCACTGCGCAGCACATTCCCGTTGGCGCTCACCTGCGGAGGAAGGCGGGGTCAGTTGGCCATCCAGGCTCAAGGGTGCCAAGAAGGCATATGGGGGACTCTTCTGCTTTCTAATGTGCAGGAAGGGGGAGGGGACAGAAAATTCTGGTACAAAACAAAAAGCCCCCTACCAAAAGATTAACAGACTCGATGACGTCCAGGAAGACCTCGTTTTTCCTGTACTTGATGCCCTCTGACCTCCAGGACACGGCATTGGTGACAGTGGCAGGGGGGCGCGGGGCCCCCGTGTCTAGTTTATGGCCCTCCTGGGTGATGTACCTACACAGATACAAACACAACATCTTAAGGAACAACCAGAGGTACTGTCTGAAGACAACTTGCGGGCAAGCAAGGGTCTGAACTTAGAGAGTTGCGGAAGCTCACTCCTGCAGTATCTTGCTGTCTGTGGTCTGGGGGTAACCAAAGTCCATCAGCTCATCCAACAGCTCGTAGATGATGACAAAGTTGTCCCTGATGCTCTCCTCCTCCAGTTCCTTGAAGTACTCTGAGAACACCTGTGTATCACGGCAATCCATCAGACCTCTAAAGCACAGTTCATACTGCACTTGTCCGTGTGCCGTTACGGTTTCCGCACGGCCGGGCACGTGGATTTATGCCTACATTCATTTTTCCGTGTACGTATACAGTCGCGGTCAGCATATGCATACAGTAATGATATTCCACCAGACCAGCAGATTGCACCTACTGGATACTCCTAGTAATGCTCTACTGATTCCTTGCATATGTGCAGTAGACACAACGGATGCAAGTAGACAGATCCACAATCAGGACTGCATGCACAGTCTGCACAGACACTGCTGATCAGAGCATGTGAGCGGAGCGGAGCAGAGCGTGAGCGAGGAGCGGAGCGGGCGGAATTTGGTCAGAGCGCAGAGCGGGTTTTCTAATTAAGGCTGGAGCGGTCGCTTTGTCTCGCTCCAATTTCGCTCCGATACCGCTCACACTACAATTCTGAGGCGTGCCCAAATCTACCCAGAATTCATCTGTACAATTATCAAGACTGTTACACAAATTGGCCGAGATGGAATTCGCAAAGTATTTCACAAAGGAAACTGATAGATCATACAAGTGTACTATTCTTATCAAACGTATAGATGACAAGAATGTACAGCAAGAACAACAATGTGGTGAAACTGTTTCAGTGAGTAAAGATTCACTTTGGAATCACTTTTCTCAGAAACATGAGTGTGCTACGCGAACAAGCGGAAGCCAGAGCAAAACGCGTGCAAGTTTTATATGGTTGTAGCATATCAAGTCTATAAAGTAAATTAAAGTATAAAAGCCTATAAAGTAAATATTGGTAATCAAATAAATTCGTTTTGTCATTCAAAGTAGGTCTAATAAGATTTTTTTTTAATTTCACGTAACGTAAAATTTTATTTTAGAGACGTGCTGCATCCACAGAAAAAAATTGAGGAATTGAAAACGTGTCTGTATATTCTTTAGGCTATTAAACCCACTGATTCCTTTATTTTTAAGCCTATTTTTGTGTGGAATGCCATTTCCAAACCTGTCCGTTGTTGCCGATAGGTTGCTTAAAAATAAATATTTTCTGTTCTGACTGGCAATGTTGCCGTTGCTCATATTTCTTTATGACATAAGGCTTCGGTTTAAGGTGACATTTGTTAGGCATGCAGATTATTTGTCCCTCTTTTAAATTGGAGCGAGCGTGGAGCGATTTGACTGGAGCGGGAGGAAATTTTAGTGGAGCGAGGAGCGGTGTTGAAGGGAGCAGCTTAGTGCGAATTAGAGCGGAGGAGCAGGCGGAGCCAACAGCCTCGTGATAGAGGAGCGGAAATTCTCACCGCTGCACTCCGCTCACATGCTCTGCTGCTGATGGCAGTGAAGTCTGCATCACGCGCTTAACCCTCCATAAACTCATTGTGTCTGTCTTATTAGAATAGAAAACATTATACTTAATTCAACTGGAGAAAAAAAGTAGTATTGCTATAGGAATCATGCCTGTGGGTCTGATTGTTATGTCACTGCTTTTTCTTCACTAAAATTGCTTTTGTTTGACATGAATATAAAACTCCCAATAGTCATTCCCTCCAGCTGGCACCTGTAGGTGGATTTTACCACTAAGAGACTTTGCTGTTTAGAGCTCCTTGTTCTCTCTTGTGTTGTCCTATCGCAGTAGGACAGTAATAAACAAAAAAATACAATATCACAAGCTGGGTTAAAAAATGATCCTTAGGTTATATAGCTACAGAGAGCAGCCTAAAACATGCATCAGTAAACAGAAAGATAAATGAATTGAGGACAGAGGGTGATCATGTCCCCGAACATGTTAAACAGGAAAGTGACTGAACGTTCAGGCCATAAAGGGGGACAGACCAAAAGAAAAATTACAGGCAAATAAAACTTCAACAAGCATGAATGCTTTGCAAACATTTTTAGTTCTGAATACACTGATGTGCACCAACATATGTATTTTAACCTGCACTGAACACCCTGCTGCATTTTCTAACACTAAAAGCTAAATGAATAAAACATAATTGTTCACTATTTAAGCAAATTTACCTATAGACTTTCTGAACTAGAAAGTTCCAAGAACGTATAGACACATGTGCTCTACTCACCTGGATTATCTTGTAGAGGAAGGAAAACACCAAGGATACAGAAGCATTTTTCTTCGATGTGGCAACAACTGATTTAAAATGAAGTTAAAGGAAAAACAGACATTGCTGGTACTTATGTAAAAAAAATTATCTGACATTTCATTAGCTATGTCTGGCAGAGGTTTCATCCTGCAGGACAGGACTACAGCCTGCAGAATGCAGTGGAGAAATCTCAAATATTACTAGGTCAAGTATTCCATCCATCCAGCTAACTTCCAACAACAAATTCAGAACAGGAATAAACACACACACACACAGCATATATATAACAAAAAATGTGTAACTTTTGTTTTCTTGGATTTACCAAAGCACCGCTATGAAGTCCAAACCAGTTAGACGTCTAAACTCTGAAATCTCCAAATGATGTCATCATGTGACACACCTCGCTGGCACTCTCGCGTCACTTCACACATCACGGCCCTGAACGCGCAGCATCAGCAGTGTTAGGATACGGTACAGGTTGTTGTGCTTGATCCACATGAAGCGGACACCACCGTGAGCCAGGATCGGGGACAAGGTTCCCTCCTCTTCCTTGTCCATGAGGATGGCCATGAAATGCTCGATTTCGGACATGTCCACATCGCCTCTATAGTTGCGACAAATCAGGACCTGTTTGGGGGCAGTATGAGGTCAGAACATAAGGTGTATTTCAGCTTTGTCAACTGATGACCACCCAGTGCAGCATTATGATACTAATGTAAACACATTAACATTGATATCATTATTACTTTTAAACTAACACTGAATTTACATTATTTATTATAAAAACAAATTTCCAGAATTTTTCAAGTTATAAATATCTGAGTACTCTCCAAAAGGATTGTAATAACTTCACGTGGGAACCACAGGAATAATAAAAATAATAATAATAATAATAATAATAATAAACATATCTAAAATTTACATGTACAGTATTAAAATCTTACATGTATTAAGTTTTAGAACCAGTTAACTTTTAAATCAGCTTAGTTCATTATGGCACTACTGTTCCGCAATGTAACTCAAGGCATTTATTGTGAAATACACCACATATATTAATTTAATCTGCATGTCTTAAGCCATAAACAAAAAGGTTTCTTTAGCTGACAGCCATCTCCTACATCCCATCTGCTCCGGCTACTGAGAAAATGTCACACTTAGGAAATGACGTTTTTGTCACCCGGCTCCATACATGATCACTTTTGTAATCTGACTTCACTGTACTGACCCTCTCAGGCTCGCAGGTTAGGCGGATGAAATGTAACTGATGCGCTGATCTGCTTCTTTAAAGCTCAGGTATTGTGACTATGCCTTCTTAGAAGAGTACAGGCGACATCTGCGCAAATAAGCATTTCCTTAGAAACCGCAAGCACGATTTCACTTCCCATTTACTTACTTATTTTACTTATTTAATTTTACTTATTTCTTGCAAAGGGGCACATTGGTTGGTATGTTTCAGTAATATGTATGTAAGCAGCTAATTAAGATTGAAAGTAAGTGCTTAAGCTGTTAAGCTAAATGACTAGCTAGCTGTAAACTTGTATGTATCGAACATGAGGAGATATCCCTGAATTCTCGGAGAAAAACTATAAGAGTACCTCAGAGTCACGCCACTTCCTCCTTTTAAAACTGACACAAAACCACGAGTTGACGGCATTTTCATGACTAGGCAGCATATGTAACGGACAGCGGACCTGAGCAGAAACGGCTACCGACGGCGTATCACCATCACGGCTCCTCCGTCCACTTCCTTACCTTGCCTTTTAGGTCCAAGACATAAACCGCGCTGGCCGACATCCTGTCTTCCTCTACACTTCCTAAAGTGAGAGACAGAAGACTAGCGCCAAATTTTTCAAGGTATGCTATACAACGCTACTGTTTAATCTGAGATCCCATCTAAAAGTACTACGGACGCATCCAGCGCAGCAGCGGTAACGGGAGGAAAATGTCAGACAGCGTCACGCGCCGGAAGCGGAAGTTGAGCCGAAAAGAGACGCGGCGCTGAAGCACGTCTACTTCCGGGAATCAGCCGTGTTCTGTTTTCAACATTTCCAGTTTTTTAAAAAATATTTTAACTCATAAAAAACACATTTGGTCAGTCAGTGTAAGCTAACATTGATAAACGACTTTAGCCGACAAGCTACTTAATATAGTTGTAGTTATAGTGCATATATGACACACCATTTTTATACTAAGATTATAAATCTTATTGTTATTCTAATTTGTTATTATCAACAAAATACATTTACCTCATTTTATTTCTGCATACTGAGTGATGAATGTCATGGATAGGATAGGATGAGATAGAATAAGATTGAACGTTATTGATCCCTTTGTGGAAAAATCTCTTTGTTCATTATAAGAAGTAATGAAAGCAAGAAAAAACCCCTCAATCTTTCACATAAATACAGCAAAGGACTATAGTGGTCCAAAAAGCAGTTTTGACATCACTCTTCTCTCCACTACTGACATTCAAATGGTAGAGTCAGAATTTGGCGTAAACAGAATGAGAACATGGATCCATCATGCCTTGTTACCACTGTGCAGGCTGGTGGTGGTGGTGTAATGGTGTGGGGGATGTTTTCTTGGCCCCTTAGCGCCAATTGGGCATCGTTTAAATGCTTTGGGGTCTAGGGGTAGGAAACACACTTTCACTGACTGGGG